TCCGACACGAACTCCTCCACTCAAAAGAATGCCCCAACTGCAATGAAACTCGAATCCAAGAAAAGCCCTTTGATCCAAGCCTCTTCTCCTTCAAGATTTCTTCAACAAACACCTCCCCAAGCTCCAAATGCACTCTAATCTCCTTCAATCACGCTTTCTAGGGTTTCTGGACTTCAAGGGGGATCAAAGAGGTTGGGGAGGGGATATAATGTTCTTTAAATAGGGCTCATTCCCCGAATTTAGGGTTTTCTCCACTCAGCACCTACTCGCCGAGTCCATCTTTGGACTCACCGAGTAGGCCACTTGACTCGCGACCAAAGTCGTGACCATACTCGCCGAGTCCATCCATGGACTCGCCGAGTTGCCCTTTAAAATTTACACTTTTAGCCCTCAACTCTACTCTTGCTATTCCGGGATGTTACATGTCCCCAATGGAGTGGGCATCTTAACACATTGATGGTCTTTTGAGGGGACAAACTTCATATCGTGGACCCATGGCCTACCTAGTATAACATTATAGGAGGACAATGTATCAATTACACAGAAGCGTTGCATAGTGTTTACCCCTCTATGTAGATAGGTAGCTTTATCTCGCCGACCGTATGCTTTATTTTTCCATTGAATCCTATTAGTACTGATGACCTTTTGACTACTTCTGTTTAGGGATGTTCATTATTTTCAAAGCATCTAGGATTATAATATTGACTGAGGATCCTCCGTCCATAAGGATCATTTTGACAAAGCGGTTGGCGATGTAAAGAGTAATCACCAGTCCATCATGGTGGGGATCATGGACGTTCGTTCTATCTGTTTTGTTGAAGGTGATCTATTTCTAGTTTGTGATGGATGTGTTCTTCTATGGACTTTCTTTTTTCTCCATCTTCAAACTTTAGCATGTCTTTTTGCTGCAGAATAAGAGGTGCCACAAATGTCATATCGTCCAAAGATTACATTGATTTCCTTAGCATTCATAGGAGGTGATCCTTGTTTTTCTAGGGTCTTATGAGGATCCTGATCCTTTTCTTTGGATCTTTCATTTCTTCTTCCAAGGATCTCTTTGTGGTATCCCTTGCTAAGTAACTAATCTCCTTTTGTAGGGCTATGCAATCTTCAGTAATGTAGCTAAAGTCCTCTTGGTATGCACACCATTTCGACTTGTCTCTCCAGGTGGTGGACTTTTCCCTCTTTCTTGGATATCTTGATTTGTTGCCAAGATCCTATGGAAAATATCAAACCTGAAACATCCACATAAAAATAGTAGTCAACAATCTTAGGAAATTTTTCTTCCTCCCATTCATCTTCAAGGGCATTAACCCTATGATGACCGGGTATAGAATAAGGTTTAGATTTATAGGATCTTTAGGCCGAGGATTCGACCTTTCTATTGGGGTTATCATACGAGCTTGGTGGGTTGCTCCTCTTTTGGATCTCCTTGTCTTCTTTGATCCTGATGAACCTTAGTGCTCTGCTCCTTACTTCATCCATTCTTTTCCATGGAGTCATTACAATGTCTTCGTAGAAATGACAATCTTTCTTTAGGCCCATTTTGAAGGCTTCTATGGAAGTTTCCATGTTGATGTTGGGGATACTCAGAGCTTCCCTGTGAAACCTATTCATGAAATCCCTGAGGGATTCCTTAGTATCCTAAACCACTCAATAGAGATCACTAGGGGTCTTCTCGAATGTTCTGCTATGAGAAAATTGGTTTTTAAAAATATTAACTAAATGTGCAAATGAAATAATAGAGTAAGGAGGAACATTTAGTAGCCATTTCAAGGTTGATCCTGTGAGGGTTGAACCAAAACCATTGAGTAGGCAAGATTACTTCAAGTGTGTGGGAATGGGGATGATCTTCATTCTCTCCCTGTATTGTACCACATGTTCTTCAAGATCTGTAGTCCCATCATAAGGCTTTATGCTGGGAGTTTGGAAGTGCTTTGGGACCTCGGTGTTAGCAATTGCAGAAGTGAATCTTGAGATCATGTGGCTTGTTAGGGAGACTTTGGTATATGCTGGACTACTCCGGGTATGCTTGAGATCATCTATCGCAGCTGTTGATGTTCTTTAGCCATGATCAGGCTCATTCCTGCATCAACATCCATAGAATTAGTAGTAAAAGTATTATTACTTACGAAGTTACGAGGGTCCTTGTTATTGGGACTTAGGAGTAACGAAGGTTTCACAGGGATCCTGGGTCGAATGAGCTTGCTCTTTTGGAGTTGCACCCCAAGTAGGAGTAGAGGACGGTGTTGAGGATCCTATCTCATGGTGATTTGCTAAGGATCTTGTATTGTTAAAGTTCAGGATCTTGAGTTACAAGATCGAAGGTGCTGCTTCTTGGGGCTTGTGGATCTCTGCCCTTATTCTCTCCATTTCCTTGAGTACCATCTTGTTGTCCTCCTATTGTTGAGTGACTTATCGTTCCAATCTCGTTATCATAGCAAATATCTCTTTATTAGAAATCATTATAGGAGGATCCTGAAATCCTTAGGTAACGACTAGAGAACTGTTTTTCTTTGGTGCCTCAGAAGTTTTCTTGGGAGCTCTGCCTAGGGGTGGAGGAAGGTTTTTGAAGGAAATTAGAGGAATGGATGAAGAGGATAAAGTTTGTTGGGTAGACATGATTCTCGAACGATTATAAACACCACGGTCCCGTGGTGGGTGCCAAATTGTTTTGGTCAAAAATTTATCAAGTGCAATTCAACCAAATTCTACGAAAGGTTGTTGTGTTAGTGCAATGTAAATATAAATAATGATCAAAGTCAGACAACTGAGTTACAAGGAAAGGCTTGATCCTTTATAGGATCTTAGACATAAAACCTTGGGAGGTGATAATGATTACCTACCTTGATGTATTTTATTGATTTAAATTTGAGATTACAAAGATGATGAAGGTAATACGACTACAAGTGTAATGGTAGAGCATATTGTAAGTGTTGTTTGTGATTTACAGGTGTTATTTATAGTCTAAGCTAAACAACAAGAAGTCCAAGATTTTCGGGATCCTCCTTGAACAAGTATTTGCACGTTATTTGACTTGGTATCCCTGGGTCTTAAGGTTGGTTGAAGTGACTCTCTGTTGAGAATGAGTCTTGTGTTGACTAATTCTGCACATGTGAGAAAAAAGAAAAAATAATATAATTGTTATAAGTGTTAGGAAATATTAGTGGTAATAACCAAGATCCTGGGAAATGTTTAAGGATCCTGAAAATGATTCAAGGATCTTGCCCTTAACACACACACACACACATCGACACACACACACACACACACACACACACATATATATATATATATATATATATATATATATATATATATATATATATATATATATATATATATATAGGGGATAGGGAATATACATTACAGCCCCACCTAAGCTTAGGTACTAAACCTCTAAAATATGTCGTTTTATCATGTTAAATATACCCGATTTGGTTTCACTTGGTAAATATATCATCCTCCATAACATTTCTTTCTTTCATTATCGTTTTACCATCTCTGTTTTTTTTCTTCAATTATCGTTTATTACTTCACCCAATTGAACATTACTAAACCCTAAACCTAAACCCTAAACCCTAAATTTAAACCCTAAACCCTAAATCTAAACTCTAAACCTAAAATCTAAACCCTAAACCCTAAACCTAAACCTAAACCTAAACCCTTAACCCTTAACCCTAAACCCTAAACCCTAAACCCTAAACCTTACTGTGTCGATCTTGAATTTACATCTTGAAATATTAATCGTGAATCCATTAACCGTAATCTTTATATAGTAAAACAATTTATTTTCAAGAGGTTTAGTACCTAAGCTTAGGTAGGGCTGTAATGTATATTCTCTTTTCCCATATATATATATATATATATATATATATATATATATATATATATATATATATATATATATATATATATATATATATATATATATAATCAAGTAAAGTAACATTGGTAGAATTATCATCTTTCTTTTTTATAAGCATTGTTATTCACTTCCTTTCAAACTCCCATCTAATGTGTGATATGTTAAAACCCAAAGTTTTAAAAAAAAACAAGAAGTCATCGCCTGGTGAAGGAAACAAATCCAAGAGCTCTTCTTTAAATCCGGTGAAACTTCCAAAGCATATTAGAGACTAATATCATGGGTTATTTTTTAAACGTTTAAATAAAAATCAGTTCAAAATCTCAAGTCTCGATAGTTGATATTGGAACTGATTTCAAAATCTAACATAAGATCCAAAAGACTATTGGAATATCTAGTTTTTTAGATAAAAAAGATAGCCTAAAAACAACAAAAGGAAGTGAGTTTTTTTTCAAAAATAAAGAGTTTGTTTTTTATATATTAGTATGGATGTTTTTATGGAAAAAAAATAAAAAATAAAAAATATGAGTTTTGGTATTCAGTTTTTTTTGAAAAAAAAAAAAACACCACATAAAAGTTTTAAATGAAAACACAAAAGCGGATTTTTTGGTATAATATGGTACATACACGTCCAATATAAAAATCTATAACCATTTCTTTGGCCATTTATCATTTTAATTTATAAACGCTCACGATTGGTTGCTTTGTCCGTTGTTAATAATGGTTATCTATTAAACTTCTCTCTCTCTCTCTCTCTATATATATATATATATATATAAAGTTATAACTCTTGGAAAAAATAGAATAGGGTGATGTTGTATGACTTACGGATTTCTGAGAATGGAGATGGTTTATGCGAGAGGAGTGTAGTTTGTGAGTCCCCACTTATTCCTATTACATCAAGTAACAAAGCCGATAAAATCATCTTTGTAGCAATAGATGTAGGAAGTTGATACCAAAATTAGGAATCCTTACGGAAGAGAATGCATTCTATTTATAGGGTCATGAATGGGCAATTAAATTAGGCATTGGGCCAACCTAGTTTTTTTTTTTAGAACCGGCAAATTTTATTGACCAAGCACTACCTAGCAAGATGCTAGGCAGGCCCAAAAGGAAGACTACATTTGAGATTGTATTACAGACAATTTAAAGGGCAAACACACCATTCGTCCCATTTAATATTACATTCTACTCTCTTATGCCTAATCCAATTGAATACAATAGATTTAACCCTGTCAATAATCTGGGAGAATGAGTATCGTGTGCTCCTGAATACCAATTCGCATCTGGTTTTCCATAGTATCCACATCACCCCAAAACAAATGCAAATTAGGTTGTTTTTCTTTCTTCTGCATCTTCTCCAAGTTTTCGTTAGCCCAATAAGATCACCAATGGTTTGAAAATCCGGTTTCGGAATATTACACCATTGAAATATCAGCTCCCATATCTTGTTCGCCAACGGGCAACGTATCATAATATGATCTGAATCTTCATCCTCGATATGGCATTGAGGACATGATTCCCTTATATTTGTAATTCCTCTCCTCTTTAGCGCCAGGTTGGATGGGATACGTCCCAAATTAGCTCTCCAAATAAAGGTATTGACCTTTATAGGGATATCATGAAGCCATGGGATGACTACTTCATTGATTGCCAGTTCTTTATTATCGATTCTTAATTTGATTGCCTTTACATGGAAAATACCGTCATCCGATAAGGGACAAATACAAGAGTCTGGATCTGGACAGGGTCGATATACATCAATGGCATCAGACAACATCTGAAAGCTGTGAGCTTGAGAGCCAGTTGTAGGGACTGATCTCCATTCCCAATTATAGCCTTCTGCTAGCACTCTTTGGCTAATTCTGCATGTTTTACGCCTTTCCAGTTGGTATAGATCTGGGAATTGATCTTTTAGTGGCTCGCCATCACACCATTCGTCCATCCAGAAGAGGGTATCGTTGCCGTTCTTCACTTTCTTCTTTAGGATGTCTTGGAAACTTATCCCAACTTTAGTTAGTTCATTCGCCACCTCTGCTATATTGTTCCACACACCTGCAAAAGTTCTTTTCGACAAAACATTAGCAGGTTTTTGCGGGAGACTGCCCCCACTGGGGCCACAAAAATAGAGAAGTAGTATGACGGGAGACTGCCCAAGACAGCTTTTGCTAAGGTTAATCTCCCACCAAATGATAGTGCTTTCGATTTCCAAGGCGAGAGCTTAGAATAAAAACGATCAATTATAGGTTTCCAGTGTTTCTATAACTTCATGTTTGCGCCAACCGGGACGCCCAGGTAGGTGAAGGGTAACGATGCCGGTTGGGCCAACCTAGTTCACGCCTAACTAGCCGGAGGGAGTGACAGTGAGTGGTGCGGTCCTATAGTAATGCCTTGTGGCTCATGATATCATGTTGTGTTGGTCATGTATATATATATATATATATATATATATATATATATATATATATATATATATATATTATAAAGATGATTTTGATGATTTAAGCGATAAGATGTTGAATTTATTCATTAAAAGTATAGATGGCAAAATATCTAAATCGCGAGGGAAAATGAAACCGAAAATTTTGAGATGGAAGGGTCTGGTAAATGTTTATGAGACTAGATATTAGGTTTTTTTTTTTTCTGAAAGATTTTGCCGGTTTGGGATGGATATGTTATTAGGGTCATCCATGTGAGCTGAATTGATGAAATTTTTGTTCCCGAACAATTTCAATTTTTATAATACTTATACTTGTATTATCGATATATGATTTCAAAATTATATTATTGTATTATATGTGATGTTAGAAATAAAATATTTGTTATGTAATTAATCAGGACCGGTCCGTTGATTTTTCATACCCAGGGCTAAACAATAGAATAATGCCCTTATGTTTTATCCAGGAAAATAGACCAAATCACATATATAAAAATGATATTGGTAGATAAGGTTGGTAAATGAATGTGTTGAATAAAAAATGTTCTTATGACCATCTAACAAACCAATCCATTCAAAATTGTTATCTAATAGATTAAGGATTACGGAAATAAATAAACTTCTAACATACAAATCAAGTTTCTTACGGTTTACAAGTTTAAAAATATAACACTTCTAAAATACTTAAAACATATCTACAATACAGAGATGTATAAACTTGTTGAATCAAAGATGCATGAACAAAGTTATGAAGAAACCGTCAAATATCTAGCAGGAAAAATTTAAAGATGAGAAAAGAGAATTGTAAAATGAGCTATATTAATCTCTCTCTCTCTCTCTCTCTCTCTCTCTCTCTCTCTAAATATGAGTTATTTACTCAAGAATCCGTGTTAAACTCATAACAACTTGTATAAAGAATTATTACTGCAACATATTAACAAATGATTAATATGGAATTTATTTAATTATTAACATTAAAATAAGAATAAATAAAGGTATAGATTGCTTAACTTTTAAAAGAGATTTCATTACATCAAGAAGTTGAAAATATCATACCTGATCACATAACAACTTAGAATCACATACAAAATCAAAATAATCATTGCACATTCCAAGCTTTTAATATTTCATAGTTTTCAAATAACTTGCTTCAAATCATTCTTTTCACAAAAGTTTTCTATGAATCTTTTCCCATTGTCCTTTAATTTTCAGTCTTTGAACTTGATGGACACATTACAATTTCTACTTCTCTGCAATGTCAAATGAGTTGTTTAAAATTTCAGACCTCATATTTCCTCTTTTGTATGGATATTTGACTCAAGCTCACAATTACATATTTGAATGGACCATAAGATTTCAAGTTCATAGGGTTACAAATAGATTGGTTCAACACTTATAGAATACATTTAATAGAAAAATAGATTATTTTAATCTTAATATCAAAAAACTCAAATCACCAATAGTGAGAAGGAGAACATAATATCATAAAACTAATAATCGAAAGCATGATTAGGATTTAGGTTAAAGGTTAATAATCGAAAGCCAAAAAGGAGAACGTAATATCAGAAAACTAATAATTTCATAATACTGCAGTATCATAATATCAGAAAACTAATATCACTATAAGAATTTCAGAATAATTACCTTAATTTGAAATCATAATTGAAAGCCAAGAAGGAGAACATCATAAATAAAAAAGCTAATAGTTAGAAGGAACACTCAGAATTCATAACTCAAATACCAAACTTAATGGTGATTTCTGAAACTAGAAGCCAAAAACCCGAGAAGGAGAAGAACTTTGCCCAATACCCATTACAGCTACTAAAAAACTGATGCCCCTCAGCCCACTGCTGCCCTGGGCTATAGCCCAGGTCGCCCTACCCTTGGGTCGGGTCTGTAATTAATACATAAATTGTTGATATTGTTTTTAATATACATGCATGATATTGATTAGATTAACATTAAATAAGAATATTAGATATTATAAATTGTAAATGGTGATCATTATGATGATTAAACTTATTTAACATTTGTTAAATATTAAATTCTTTCTATTGGTTATAAATTATAGTTATTAAAAATTCATATCACTTTGTAAATGAAATTGTGATTGGACTTTAGATAGTAAAATTTCCAACAAAATACTCATGCATTTGACGCTTGTCATTTTACTTTTAAACTCTTTAATCAGAGTTGTCGTCTCTACATTGGAATAGCTTTTGTTCCCAAATTTTCATCGTAAACAATAATAACAACTTTGAATATGGAAAATTTCAAACATTAATAACCAATTTTATTTGTAGTACCCAAATAGACATACAAAAGCTTTGAACATTTTAACAAGGCCATTGACAATGACACCTTACCATACCATACATTGTTACGCAATTCCCCCATGAGAATTTCCCCTTCAATTTGTAACAATAATCATTGCAATTTTTATCTTGACAACTACTACCCCAGTTAAGATACATCTGACAAAAGTTGATGTTAATCTTGCTCTCAGTATTCACAACGCCTAAAACAAGTCATAACAATACACAATCTTCGTTATAAAAAATATATTAAAGCCATAAGAGATTTGGGGCCTTTGAGAATTTGCGAATGAAATCATTCATGTCACACTGAATTGATCATTAGTGCATTTTATACAACCTCTAAAGTAATATGAACGAGTCAAAAGTTTTTAAACAGTTAAAAATTTTACTCTTTTTCAACCATTAAGAGGTTAAAATAATTTATTAAATAAATCATTGACAAACAACCTTTTAGATATACATATACTAGTATTATATAAATAATCATATACACAAAATATGTAAAATTACCTGATGTAGATGTTGATGTTGCAATTGGTGTTGTGATAAGTAATACAAGTATAGCATACATGCTTATCAGCTTCATTGCTAATTGCTTGTATGTTTTTTTATGTTGATTTCGCCTCGTATGACAATGAGTGAAACAACTGTTCACAAAATTGTGTGTTTATACTCTCTATGAAACAAAATTTGTTTACGTGGCTCCTTATATTTGATCATTAATTAAAAATAGTATAAGGTTATAAATGCTATATTTCTTTAATGAAAAGAATATGAAACAAAAAGAAATTAATATTATTTTTATTTATGAATATTTTAGTAAAACGGTTCCTTTGTATACCATAAGCCATTAAATGCATTGAGGTGATAAGGTCCAATATTACCTTTTCATTCAATGCTTACATTAATAATCATATTGGTAATATGTTTTTTCTTGTACTTTTATATTGTATTTTGTATTATGTGTCCAGTTTTTCGCTTATCTTTTTTAATTTTTATAAAATTTTCTGTGGTGAAAAAATTATACAGGTAAGGAATGCAAAGCCTTTGAGCAATTATCCAATGCCTGGAGTACTGAAGCTTAGTTAAGGGCCTACGGCCCTGTTCTTAGGCCTCATTTTACACTTCCACCATTTCAATTTCAATTTATTTTTCTTTTAAAAAAATATGATAAATAATATTTCATCTCTAAAAAAAATCTATTTTATTTTTACCTTATTTTTTATGCTAAAAATAATATCTCTAATATATTCAATTTGTGTAATTTATGTAAATTGTTAAACACACCTTTGGACTAATTATCTTTTAATAAACATATAATCTATCTTTTAATTATAATAATATTAAAAAGTATGTTATCAAAATATTATAGCAAAATAAATTGTTCGTATAAAATAAATTTAAATTAACCATAAATTTATTGAAAAACCCAATACATATTTAAGCGTGAGAATAAATTTCTCATATATGAATTCTATACCTAAAAAATACTTTATATTTATGATTAAGTAATATTATTTAATATATAAAGAATATTACAAATATTAATTATTCAATGTTGCACTTAAATTATAACTATTAGATAAAAATAAGCAAGCAATGTCGAAAAATAGAAAAAGATAAATTAAAACCAACAATTTAACTGCATTCATTTTTCGATAATTGAATAATATTATTTCATATTTGAGGTAATACGCTTCGAATCTAAAGAAATGAAGGAGAAAAATAAGGGGAGGATAAAGAACATCGGAGGTTAAAATAGAGAAAAAAAATGACATTTAAGACAAAACTTCAAAAATGGTCCATGTGGTTTTACAAAATCTGAAGTTTGGTCCTTAATTTATAAAAATCTCATGGATCGTTCATGTGGTTTCAAAACTTTAATGTTTAGTCCTTCCGCCTAACTCCGTCAGCTTTCTACCATTAAGTGAGGGGTATTTTCATCATTTCAATACTCAATGACCATTTATGAGGTTTTCTATTTTTTTTTAAATGAAAAAAATGAAATTTAAAGGGGTTCCACCATCTCTCTCGTATGAAATCATCGCATAGGAGAATAATTTTTGACTGAAAAAGTTGAAACCGAACTTCGATTTAAGGGAAATCAAACTATCGTCCATCATCAATATTGGTATCTGATGGAGATGATGAAGTCTTCACCAGCTCCACCGGACATACATCTCCACCACACCTTGCCATCTACACCCTACAAGTCCACCACCGCTACTGGGATTAAGAATCGACCACCATTGTTAGCATCCGATTGAGATAATGTCTTTGCAAATGATGTTGGGCTTTCTTGATCAAATAACATATGAAGATGATTAAATCAATCCTTTGAAGCAACAACACAACATACATCCCAAACGTTGATTGTTATTCTCTGATAAACAATCACAAGTGTAACAAATTTGATTTTGATTTATTTCCCTCGTTCTTATCTCAATAAACAGCTTGTGACCACAAAAGAGATCCAAAAATCGATATAGGTTAAATGGATCTTGAATTTTGTAGAAAAAATAGATGCTTGTAAGTTGTACCCCATAAGCAGAAACAATTTCGCTAAACTTAGAACGTATCAGACAAAGGGCTTCAAGGGTACAAGCAAAGAAATCCATAACATCATAAAATTCAGAAAATTTGGTCAAGTCCAACATTTTCTTACCAATTACCAACAATCATTCTTCGTAAACATGGAATCCAAGAACACTCGAACTAACACATGATAAAGATTAAATGCCAGTGTTGTGTGTGTGAGATAGATTTAAGTTGTATGTATAGATGGGAAGAGGAGCAAAGCAGTTCATCAACAAGTGGGGGTGTTTGACTGTTGATGCTCGACATGAAGAACGAGGAAGATAGGGAGTCCGTTTTCCGGTGGCTCCCCTTTTGGTTGTTAAGCCTTGTCGTCGGAGTTGTGGCTTCGAGAGATGCAGGGACAGATCAAGAAACAAAATGGTGTTTTTGGATCTGTTATTAACGGGAAGGAGCAAAAGAAAAGAGGTTGTCGCCTCTTGGTTTTCACTGGAAAATCACACAATTCGGTGTTGTGTTCTTGATAGAAAACAAAGAAGGAAGGAGTATAGAAGTAACAAAGATCTTTAGGGGGTGTTTGTGGGGTTGCTAAACAATGTGAGGATGCTGAGAATTGATGATATCCATCGGTTCTTCCTTTCCTTTCTTCACGAGAGAGAGAGAGAGAGACCCCTTAATTTTTTTAATTTTATAAAAAGAAAATATAAAACCTAATAAATGGTCTCCAGTTATTGAAATGATGAAAATACCCCTCACTTAACGGTAGAAAGCTGACGGAGTTAGACAGAATGACTAAATATTAAAAGTTTTGAAACCACAGGGATGATCCGTCAAGTTTTTGTAAATTAGTGACCAAACTTCAGATTTTATAAAACCACAGGGTCTATTTTTGAAGTTTTGTCCACATTAAATGATGAATTGGGAATTGTGTTTGGTAGAACTTTATGTCATTTAATATTATTTAATCTTTTTTTATTAAATAAAACTATGTATGAAACTCAGTGTATTACACTAGAATATGTAGAATCAGTCAAGGTTTTAGGTTTAAAGAATGACTTTTTCCATGTTAGGGTCCTTTGGGTCCAGGTCAACTAGGTTTAAGATCCAGAACCAAAACCAGTTTTAAGGGTTGGACCCTAAAAACTGCTTTGTAGCCTAAGATTTGGATGTTTTCTGTATGCACGCTCTCGGTTTAAAGACTACTAAAACTTCCATTTAGACCTCTTTGGCTACAAAACAATTTAACAAAAATTCACTTTTTACGATGCACAGTTATGTCGGTTTAATCATGAAACTTCGAAGAAACATAACCTCTTCATACGAAGTCGGATTTTAGCGTTCTTTATATGTATGAAATCACTGTCACATATACTATAACTCTTGTTAATCTTATTTGTCCTAAATAATATTTTATCTAAAAGTCATTTTTAATGCTTATTATCTCTAAATCAACTAGCTCGAATCTGCGAACGTTACAATTAGGACGACTACTTCCCAAAAACATCAACAAAATAAGGCTTGTATATTGATTCCGCACATTACTTTTCCATCCTAGATGATAACGGTAACTATCATGTCTTTTCTATCTGGTTTCTAATTCATAGACTTCTTGACCGCTGACGGTGTTGTAACTACTCTTCCTCTTAGATAAAGTTCTTTACTTTGACTATTGTAACATACTGATGAGTCATGTTCTAATGACTTATCATCGTATGATGCAACGGTTATACTCAAGTATCTTTGAGTCAGAATTTAACACGAAGGATACCTTCTTTCAAGTTATAATGTGATATAATCACATTCTAGCATGTAGCACTTCTGGCTACAGGCTGCTTAATTTTAACGGTGTTTGCGATACTTCTAATGATTGCTTTCATTTATCTTTTTCTCCAATCCAAAGTTGGATGCTACATCAAACTTACTTCATATATTAGTCGAACTTGATTATGAACACTAAGGTCGAAATAATATTTATCTTTGTAGTCATTACCGAAACAAAGTTAATGATGGAAATGAACAAAATAGCTCAACTACTAGTGTCTTATTAACTTTGCGACTTTCCCTGATCCAAGTGTGAGTCATGTGCTTCCGTTAGTATAGGCCTCTACTGCATTTTACACCTACTCATATTTGTCTCAAGTATTTCCTTGCAGTCCACTAAGTTATCATAAAAAGGAAAATCGCATAGAAGGCACACAAAGTAATTTAGGAATTTTCATTATCTTTGAAAATGGTTACACCATTTATTTGTGATATATGTCTATTACATTATGCCACGTAACCTAATACTAATCATTTGTCTCATTCTATCAAGTACTTCAGACAGTAGCTCCAAATTCTCGCCCTCTTGTTTCCTTATCAAGCCCTATAAAATATGCCCTTGCCTTCAGATTTGGTGGCACATTTAATCTTGTCGTTTTGTTTTTCTTCGAGAAATCTTTCGACATATGCCCCTTGTCTCCACATCCGTAACATACCTTGTCATTAAACGTACAATCCTTGGAATAGTGATCGGCCCTTTTACACTTATTACAAGTTACTTCTCCATCACATCCTAAAGGAATTCTTCTTTCACTTCTCACACCACCTGACTCCACCACTACCCCAAACATTTGGTCGCCCAGGTTAGACTTCGAGAATCATTCTTTCTTATCAGATCTTGAACATCCCTTTAGCTTCCTCTTCTCTCCTACCTTTGTTCTCTCCAAATCCTTCTCCCAAAGTTGTGTCTCCACATTCTTGGCTGCTCTAATGGTTGTCTTAAAAGTAGTTGCCATTTTTACTGTCTAAAGTCCGCCGACAACCCGTTAGAAAACGTCTCTATCTTGGAGAGTTCAGTAGGTACCAATTAGGGGAATAACTTCATCTTCTTGGTGAATGAGCTGGCATACTCATCAACACTTATATTCCTCTTTTTCAAGTTCTGAAACTCATTGTTCATGTCTATCAGATCCACTTCCAAGCGGTACTGCATCCTCAACTGCTCCATGAATGCTTCTCAAGATATCTTCATGGGTTCTCCCTATGTCATTGTATTTACCATCAATTTCCACCAACTTAAAACTCATGTCTTTAGTTTCCTGGCTGCTAGGATGGTCTTTTTTCAGTTGTTGCTGTTACAACTTTCAAACACCATTTCCATCTCGTAAATCCAATCAACAACT